ACAGAACATTCCACTCCAAAGTTGCAGAATAGCCATTTTTTTCAAGTGCACATGGGACATTCTCAAAGACAGACCACATATTAGGACACAAAACAAGTCTCTACAAGTTCAAGAAGACTGAAATCATATCAAGCATCTTCTTCGACATTTACACAATGGAACACTATGCAGCTGTAAAAACAAAGGATCCCTTACCCTTTGAGACAGCATGGAGGGACCTGGAGAGTATTACGCTAAGGGAAATGAGCCAGTCAGAGAAGGACAGGTGTCACATGGTCTTACCCATATGTGGAATCTAATGAACAAAATAAACTGATGAACAAAGTAGATCGAGAGACATGGAAACATGGAACAGACTGACGAATCTCAGAGGGAAGGCCGGGGTGGGTTGGTGGGTGGGGAGAGATTAACATAAGAATTTACATGCATATATGCATAACCCATGGACACAGACAATAGTGGGGTGAAGGCCTGAGGGGAAGGGTATAGGGTGGAAGGGATCAATGGGGGAAAAAGGGGGACATTTGTAATACTTTCAACAATAAAGATAAATGAAAAAACAAACTCTTTCAAGGGAGCAATGATATAGTGAAAAATTGGGACATTCTAAATGTTGAAGTGGAGTAGATTCATTCATTCAACACTATTATATAGTCACTACCACGATGATAAAGAAGTATATTTATTTACATATGAACAAAAAAATGTTCAGGTATATTTACTAAGTTTAAGAAAAACAAGCTATATCCATTATGATCATACACGTTAAGAGAATATACATATGAGAATATATGTGGCAAAAAATCTTGTGAAAGTAGTATAATAGGGCTGCTTTACGAAACTGTAAGACCAGACTTCTAAGTACTCTGCAGAACAGGAATAGAGCTTAAAGGGGAATCAAGGTGAAGAAAACGGCCCTCAGTGTACTTAATTTTGTATATGTGTGTGTATGTCTCTCTCTCACACACACACACACACACACACAAATGGAAACTGAATCACACAACCTTGAGACATCTGGATTTCTAAATGACTGAGTAGTTTTTAATATTATGTAAATAACTGCCACATTTTTTATGATATTAATGCAATCATGGAGCTGGGGTACGTAGGCATAAAAATAAACTAGAGATTATGAGTTTGGTCGATTTTTATTTTAGGTTTCTAGGAAGAACATAGCTTTTCACTGCATTGGTATCAGGATATTTAACAGATAATTTTCATACTGTTTTAGAGAAAAGAGAAGAACCTATGTAGCACATGGTCAACCTCTGTCATTCACAGAAGGAAGTGATGAAGCCACTGAAATCAGCAGCACAGCCTCGAGCCTCCAGTGCCCATCTCTCCTCCTGCACACTAGTGTGGGAACGTGACTTACCAATGCCCCGTACACCCCATGAATCCCGTTTCTCAGTGAAGACTGCCATGCTACCAAGATCGAAGTGTGCAACTTCAAATGCTCTTTAAATCAAACACAATAAAGAAAGTCAGACACTTTTTCTTTTGGTGAGAAAGACGAACTCCCAGTTCCTCTCTCACCTCAATTGCATAACTCAAGAGAGCAAGAGGCAACTTTCCTTGGACTCTTCAAATAAACTCTCTTTAGGGATCAGGCTATGCACAAGAAAATAGCTCAGCAGGAACTTTGAAGGAAAAAAAAGAGTGAGAAACCAGGGATAAAAGCAGGAAAGAACCGAACAAAACATTACCGGCACCATAATACAACACATGCACTGTCAAACATTAGTTATTTGGATGGAATCGGGGACAAGCAGTCAATTTAGAAAGTAGAGATCTGGCAGAAGCAGTTTTAAGAACACACATGTGTGTTGGATGGATGGACACATGACCTACTTTTAGATAAATGAACTTAAGAATCGTTTACAATTTATGAGAGTCTGTTTCCAGCTAGTCTAAAAGGCAACCTGAAACTGTGTTATCAATTAGGGACTCATTGATGGATTATATACAGTCTGAAAGAGCCTAAGGCTGGATATCTTACAGATGTAAATATCAGACATGCGATAGCCGATGAAGCACATTAATTCTGCTCTGAAAAGGGGCATGAGCTACAGAGGAGGAAAGGAAGGAGCTCTGAGGTCACCCTTCGCCATCTACCACTCCTCTCCTGTTACAAATGATTGCTCAAGAATGTGGACTTTGGGATGCAGCCACTGCCTGGTGGAATGTCACAAACTTGACATGCAAGCAAGTTAGTTCTCAAATACCTGCATGTTGCCAAAAGCTGCTTGTAAATCTATCTACATCAACTGTGTTGAGAACAGCTCTTGTTAGGCAGTATATTATACTTGAGACGCGCTCTTAAAAATAGCAAATTCAACATCTGATCTTTATATATCTCCGCCCTCACTACCCTCTTCCTAGTATCTACTACCTAGAAGATGCTTACTAAATATTTGTTAAATGAATTTTTAAAAATATATTTTTATTGATTTCAGAGAGAGGAAAGGAGAGGAAGAGAGAGAGAAACATTAATGATGAGAGTCATCGATTGGCTGCCTCCTGCACGCCCCCTACTGGGGATCGAGCTCACAACCCAGGCATGTGCCCTGACAGGGAATCGAACCTCAATCTCCTGGATCCTAGGTAGATGCTCAACCACTGAGCCACACCGACAGGGGTGTTAAATGAATTTTTATTGTACTTATTCATTCTAGTTAGCAGGTGGGAGGCCATTACCTGGCAGAAAGAATAGCTTCTGTATTCACTAAGAAAAAGGCACAATAATATGACTGTTAATGATGGAGATAGATCTCAACAATGCACTCACCATCAGAAATAGATAAAAGGGACTGAGGATATAGGCCTGTCTGCAGCAGCTTCTAGATGCTCCAAGGTCAGGTCTACTGAGGTGAGTGACCTTGGCAGGAGAGCATTGTTATGGCTCCCACATGAGCGAGCACCCCCCCAGTCTGTCCCAGCCTACCCTTCTTACTGTCCCAACCACACAGCCAGGAAGGTAATGAGATTCATCTAAAACAGGGGTGGGGGAACCTTTTTTCTGCCAAGGGCCACTGGGCTATTTGTAACACCATTCTTGGGCCATACAAAATCATGAACTTAGAAATTAGCTATGAAAAAAGCTCCTAGATATATTGAATTTTGAGTCCCGCCTGTGGTTGCCTTGGCAGGGCCAGACCAAATGATTTCATGGCCATATACAGTCCTCAGGCCGGATGTTCCCCACCCCTGATCTAGAACCTCAACACCAGGCAGGATAGAGTATCAGCAACTTGCTATTAAGGGTACTGTCTACCAGAAAGGAGCAAAAATACATTGGAAAGTAGTTTGTAATTCCTTCTTGTTTTATTTTCCCTTTGATTATAAAGCAATGCATGCTTAGTTTAAAGTTAAGAAAATTAGGAAGTAAAAATAGCCCACTGTTCCATCACTAAAAAGATTACTATTAACATTTATGAGTGAGTCCTTCTGGATCATTCATATAATTATTCAAAGTGTGTGTATACATTTTTGGGACATCCTATATATATATATATATATATATATATGCAATGCACTGATTTTTTTCTTATTAATTCAAATAGCCAAGAAACCAACATGTATTGTAAAAATTTTAACTACACATATTGTTGGATTAAATTGTGCATTTTCGGGACACATTTAAGTCTGATCCTGTTCAAAGATTGCTATTTCAACCTTAAGTCTTCAGACCCAGAAACATGTCTTGTGTTACTGTATAAATCTGAAGAAAAAAGGGCAAATACTAAATTTGGGAACAAATTCCAGCTTTGAGCTCTGTGCCAGCTATGGACTCTTCCATACTTCATTTTCTCTGCCCATTCTCTGCCTTTCTGTACTTCCTTATGTTTTTTTATGAAAATTATCTTCATTTAACATCCTTTCTAGTAGCAAACCCCATCTTCTCCAGAAGTTTTCCAGATTTTCAAACCAATAAAAAAATGACTGAATCCATTATACGCTGGTCTAGACAATATGTGCCTCGCTGATTTAGGCTGGACCACTCAGCTAGCAGCTCTAGTTTTATGACCTTTAAGCAACATAAAGCTTATAGTTCTATCTTCCCAGGCCTAATAGGTTACTTAGTGTGTGTATACAATTCCCAAACGCTACAGTGCTTTCCCTGGACAGAGATCGGATGGAGCTCTACAAAGAACTATTCTGGTCCTCTGGTTTTCTCTTGGGGTTTACATGTCTGCAAGACACCTAGAATTTGGGAAACACAGTTCTTCATATTTAAGGATTAAATCTTTCATCTCTCCAGCAATAAAGGAAGTCTTAGGACCCTTCTGAACCTTTGACTCTTCCTTGGTAAAAACCGAAAACTGAGGCTAGGAGGTGATTTCTAAAAGCCCTTCCAGCTCTGAAAAGGTGAAGCCTTAAGGTTCTGAGGTCCATGAATCAACAAGTATAAACAAGACAAGAGGAGAGACACATAAACTGAAACTCCAGGGCAGGAGTAGAAACGGCATGTCAGTTGGGAGTCACACACATGCAGGTACCCTAGTCGTTACTACTACTGCATAAAGCCGAGTTCCACTGAGACCAGGAAGAACGTTAGACTCAATATAAAGCCTCGTGACACTGTTTATTGGTAGAAAAGCTGCCCCATCACTTTTCCAAAACACCCCCCAAGACAAATTAAAAATTGAAAATACAAATGAAACTCAACATCTCCTATTGCAAAGATAACTGGGTCTCTAAAATAACCTTTAAAATAACAAATGTAAAACTCCTAACAATGAGATAACGGGCTGAAGAGCCTAGCAAGGTAAGCGGCATGTGCCATATAAGTGATATAGTAAACGCTTGGTACCTAGTAGCTCAGTGTTCTTCTTCCTTTCCCTCTTCAGAATGTCAACTTTCCAGCAGGAAATATCCTATTTTAAGTACATATTTTTCTTTAAAACTTAAGGAAAATGTCTAAAGTAATACATTTATTCATATACTTGAATGTGGTGTAATGTCGTTTATTTTTATAAAACTCAGAGGTCACTGACCTGAATTTAAGTCTCGTCCTGGATTGAAGGCCCGGCTATTAACAGTAGTAGAAAGTCGATCACAGCTAATTGTTCTAGATACATTGGTATTAAAGTTCCCATCGAACCTGAAAGAATAGGAGAGAATTAGCAATACTGATTTGGTGGCTATTCAATGCAGAAAAACAAAGCAACAAAAATAAGAGTTCCTACTATATATAAAATAGGTCAGCTCATAAACAGTAAAATTGTGATTTAGATTTTAAATATATAAAAAAAAAACCCCACTGCAGAGCAGTTTTGGGGAAAAACAACATTTGCATCTAGAAGGCTTTAGAAATCAAGTTCAATTCTAAGGAGATGAAGAAAAACCATCCTTTAAACCAACGTTTCTTCCATGAACCTGAGTCAGGTACTGTTGATAAAATCATGCAGAAAATAGATTCACAGACTAGAAAAACACAAATCAGACTTGAGCTCTGGTGTTACATATGAAACGGTTCTTTAAGTTATCCTATGTGAAAATCAACGACCAAGGACCAAAACAGACACTAGTGTAGGAGAAAGAATGACTTCGGGGTAGGAAAGATCTAGATTTGAATCTCTGCTATGTCACTATTAAATATATGTCCTTGGGCAAAACTGTTTAATTTTTCTGAGCCTCAGTTTTCTTATCTAGAAAAAACAAAACTTATTTTCCAAAGCTGCAAAAATGATGATAAATAATGCACCTAAGTCCCTTTCATTGTACATGACACACAGCTTGCACCTTCTAGACTGTAATGTAAATAAGACCAAGGTCTTTTCTGATTTCCAGTGGTAGCACCATGCTAGTACTGAAGTAGAACAATGTTAGTACTCTGGCTAGTAGCAGACCAATAAATACTAGTGCAAAAAATGGGTCATTCGCTAGAGCTACCAACAATCTACAAGAAAATAACAGGAAAAAGTACTAACTCATTAGTCACTAAGAGTATCTGTAAAAGTGAATTTAACCCAGAAGTAACAAAAGAGGGGGAAAAAAAGTGAACTTCTAAGTAACCTATTCAGGATTTCAGATATTGGAAGGACTTACGACGTTTCTAAGATTCCCACCCCCCCCAGAAATATTCAATCTGAAATTATGTTTTTTAAAATGTGTGTTAAAATGTGTTCCTCAGATGATAAATGTCATTAATGAAACCCCACTGCCACAGGAAGAGAAGCTGTATCGCCCGTACCACCTCGGAGAAGCAATCCGAACTCAGTCATTCACATGAATTTGATTATCTGTTGACCACATCTCATAATGTATGAGCTACAAAACTGAACTGATTGTATGAGCAGGGAGGCTAGGTTTTCACATGGTGTGTTGGGTTCCAAAAGGTAAACATTTTGTTTTGAAACATATCATCTCAAAGGAGGGAACTGGATTTTAAGAGATCTTTTATTCCAGCCTCTAACCCAGAGCAGAATTACATCAATGTTGTCAACTGTGCCCCCAAGGACACAGTTGCTTCACCATCATGGTGACTCCTCCTTGGACCTGCTCCAATTTGTCTAGACGAGAAGACTGCTGCCTCAGAAGCCACAGATGGAGAGAAAAGAAGAAATTATTATATCAGCAGCTGGCTGTGTGCAAGCTGGCAAAGCAATATAATTCCACTATCCCTCTCTTGCTTTACATTTGACCTTCTGTAAAGTGAGAGAAGTGTTATATAAGTGACTCACCTGCTCGCCATGCTCTAGATGCCACATTGAATCTGCCCTCACATACTTTTTAATAAGGCCAGATAAAATTTAGGCTTTTTGTGAGCTATATGGTCTGCCTGCAACTCACATCTGCACTTTGCTGTATGAATTACAAACCCCCTTTAGACCTACCCATTTCACAGTTGAGAAAAGTGACACCAAGGATCACAGCAAAAGTCAGGGGCCTAAAAGGAACTTGAATCCCATCACCCAATTCCCTGTCCAAGGGTGAGCCACACACCACACTGCTTAATTGAAGTGGCACATAAGGAAGAACTAAGAGCGGTAACTCAAGTTCCTCTCTTAGTTCTTCTAGGTGACGTGTAAGCTTGGAGAGAGCCCGTCTCCTCAAATGAAGTCTCCATAGTCAGGACTTGTGCTATCAAGAGCCAGGGAACTATTTTTATAGTTTTTTTTTTTTCTATTCTGTACTGAAAAGATCATCCCTAAGAACTTTAAAGAAAACATTTTTATAAGAAAAAAATGGAAGTAACTCATTAACAAAAGTAGGTGCTTAGTAAATATTTGTCAGTCATAAAAAGGCCTCACAATGTAGTGCCTGTTATCAATTATCTACCCAACCTTTTATTCCCACTATCTCCCAACCTATAGTTCTAACCAGACCAGTCCCTCAACTGCTGGATCCCAACTGCGATGCTCTCCAGTGCCCACTGCACCCATACAAAGCCCAGCTCTTCACATCTTCCTCCCTGAAAACTCTCCTATCGGCTCCAGCCTATGATGTCCCCTTCCTCCTCCAAACTGACCAGTGCCATTCCGCATCTTAATTCCATGCATGTGTCTCTTTTCCTATTTTTTAAAATTGCCTTGAAATGAGCTTAACATAGTGTCATCATAGTTGATGTCCATTAGACACAGATCAACCAGGTTTAGATTCCGTTTATGCAAAAAAACACTAATCAATAAAAATTTAAAAATAAGATTTATTATAAATCATGAGCAAATTACCTTACTTACTTTGCCTTCTCCAATTCCTTTATGGGAGCTTCAATGGCCTAAACCCTACCAGGCACGCAGCACTTCAACTCCCAATTCTCTCTAAAACCTTTCACATATTTGAGAAGCCCGAGTTCTCCCTGGTGCGACTGTAAGTTACTTGAGGTTTACACTTCTCTCTCAGGTCTAGCACACTGCTGGAAATGTGTGCTCCATCCATTCTCATTGGGGACTGACTAATGAGGAAGGACAGAGAGCTAGGTCACTGGAGAGGTCTGGATGTTTTATTCAATCATGTTCATTGGATATCTCTGACAAGTAAGGCACTGCCACCCTGGCAAACCATTGATTATGTCTCTGTCGGGAGCATGGGCTTGAGAGGTACATAGACCTAGACTGGAGTTTGGGTTTAAAATTGCTTATTGATATATTTAATTCTTGTGCATAATTTACATTTTCTAAGCCTCTGTTTTCCTCATCTATAAAATGGTACTAATAATAGTAACTATTTCATAAGGTGTTAAGAATTAAATCAGAAAATGGTTCTAAAGACCTTGTACATAGTAAGCATTTAATAAATAATAACTAGCACTGAAAGTATTAGCAATGATAACAGTTAACAGCTACTAAGTGCTTATCATGTCAATTATTTCAAGTGCTTTACGTAGATTATTAACTCATCTTCTTAAACCCTGAGGGAAATACTATTATTATCTCCATTTGAGAACAAAATTTTAAATTAAGAAGACCCAGGTTCACAGCTGGGTATTAGCAGAACCAAGACGTGTACATATGCCCTGGCCAGTGTGGCTCAGTTGGTTGGATGTTGTCCTGTGCACCAAAAGGTTGCCAGTTCGATTCCCGGTCAGGGCACACGCCTGGGTTGTGGGCTTGATCCCCAGTAGGGGGCGTGCAGGAGGCAGCTGATCAATGTTATGCGCTCACATCGATGTTTCTCTCTTCCACCCTCTCTCTCCAAAAATCAATGAAATGTCTTAAAAAAAGAGATGTGAACATTCGAGCTCTCATTCATAAGGAATACATTACACTATATCTCAATAAATCAACAAATAAATCATCACCAACATTATCTAAAACAGCTGAAGAAGAATTCAGTTCTCTCAAAGGAAAGGATTACGCTGCAAGATTGTAGGCTGAGGTGAAATCTTTGCTTTTTACTTAATAGAAAGTGATAGTAGCTAAACACAAGGCTTCCGATAATGCATAGCTACACGGAAAGAGCTCTATGGACAAAAATGTGGATGGGGAGGAGGCGGAAGATATTAAAGGTGCTCCCCATTAATTACAAATAACTGATCAAAAAATGTTCACCACTGGCATAGCTACGAAATTGGCCATTTTGAGTTACTTTTTAGTATTTATTCTAAAAAAGCCTCAAGCTCCCTTCCCATTCACTACTGAAAGCCGAGAAGTTCCAGGCTAGAAGAGCGAGCATGGAGCAGAGATACAGCAGACTCGGGGCCAGTTCATACTAGTTTTCTCCTTTCCTGGCACCGACTTTCTCCTCTGAGAAAAAGACCCTGGGCATTTTGGTAATCTGAGGACCGTGAACGAATAAATGGCTCATGGACAACAAAGATAATATAAAGAGAAGTAAAAAAAGACCAAGAAAGAGAAAACTGCACTAAATTCTGAAAAATTCTCACACGGGACAATGAATACAAGATGCTGAATAACGTAACAGTTTAAGTTGCACGTAAATGTGGGCAACGCATGATCCACAGCCCTGGAAAACTCCATTTGATGTAGTGCAAACACGGAGCCTTGCGGAGATCAAACTCGATCCCAAAATAAAATACCCGAAGAAGTTCCTTTTCTGAAGGAAGCCATAGAATTTTCCTGATGTTTTAGAACGAATAAATAACCACCTTGCAGAAGAACCTCAGCCAGAAGGCAATGTGACCTATCTGCTCGTTAGCTCAAGGACATCTGGGTTCTGAAAGTCCACTAGTAAGAGGTGAAACAGATTGTTAAGCTTCACTTCAGAGCATGATTTAATTCGTGCTTTCTGAGCAATCCGCATGTAGTGAATGCTGGTGGTTTTAAGTCAATTTACTCCTGTCAGGCCCCCACATTCTGATATTTCAGGAATTCAGAGACACGCCAACCACTCTCCCTCCCGCTTCTTGCTGGCTGGTATTGCGCAGCAAAGGTCTCGCTGTGGTCTCAGTCTGTCTGCATTCCCTCCCATGTGCTGAATCTCAGCCATGGAACCTGCGCCCTCAGCTGAGTTACCATGAAATGCCCAGAAATGAACCTCGCTCCGCTGCTATCCCTGCCTACGCCTGTCAGGTAGGGAAGCAGGTGCCAACAGGGGGCTTACGAGACACAGGAAAGAGTATGTGCTAAGCTGGTGAACCAGCTAGGAGAAAAAATTACAGGAGCAAAGACCCTGTGATTAGCTCTTCAGCCACACTCA